GAAGAATGTTGGAGAAGGATCCTTTTTCTAAAGAAATCTGTTCTGCTGAAATATCACACTACCTTAAAATTTACATTTCTCTATACCTTCTTCTCCCACCAATTTTCTTTGGAATGCTAATGTGTAAGCCCCCTAAAATGACTTAGTTTGTTAAGTGGAAAAGTATGATAAAATGAGAGTAAAAAGGGAAGTTAGGCTCATATCATCTTAGTTTGTGTACCGTCCTATCAGTGTCATTTACTGCATATTCTTAGGCAGTTTCTTTATTCTCTCCAGGAGGACACAGTTTTTCAATCTTTAGAAAGAAACCTCATTATGCCTACTAGTCAAAGTTAAGGAGAGAATCAATGAAAGGTTTTATTGTGAAAGTGCCTTGCAGCATGTCTATACAGGAAGTGCTCAGTAAAGACTAGTCTTTTCTTTCCTTCATTCTACTGAAAGGAAGACTCAGAACAGTTTAAGGGTTGCTGAAAGGTGTATTGAACTCAGAAATACATGAATACTATATTCTTGAGGGCTAACCCTACCTTTTAGCTAGTAGTAATGGCCATCATGATTGGAGCAAGACTTATGTATGAAAGACATACTCAAAATCCTTTTGTTTTAAAATGTATTATTTTCATTGTACATATTCCTGTGTATGGTGTGATTATTTTGTGCATTTGTGCAATGTGTACTTACTGATTAGATCAGAGTGATTGAAATTTCATTATTATTATTTTATATTTGGTGACTTCAAGCTTCAGTCTTTTAGTACTTCATAAAATATATAAGCTTATGTGTAATATAATACATGAATTTATATAATATATGTTTATATGTAGTAAGTATATAAGTAGTAAGTAGACTATGATTATACCCTCTTTCACCTTTTTTTTGCTTATTGTCCTTTCTCTCTGAGCACTTTGCCTCAGTTTTTTTGTATTTACTTTAAAAAGAAAGGAGGTTTATTTGGCTCACAGTGTGCCTCAGTTTCTTTATCATCAAGGTGGGGACCCTACTGGGCTCAGCAACAAATGCTTGTAATCCTAGTGGTTTGGGAGTCTGAGGCAGGAGGATTGCAAGTTGAAAGCCAACCTCAGCAATTTAGCAAAGCCCTAAGCAACTAGCTGAGACCCTGTCTCAAGATAAAAAAAATTAAAAGGGCTTGGGATGTGGCTCAGTAGTTGAGTGCCCCTGGGTTCAATCCTCGTATGCCTGCTCCTCCTCAAAAAAGGTAGGGGGAGCTGGGTATTTAGCCCAGTGGTTAAGCTCCCCTGGGTTCAATCCCTGGTACCAAAAACAGAAAAAAAAAGATGGGGACCCTATTATGTCAACTGAAGCTTTGTATAATGTAGCATGGATGAAATAACTTACTGAGTCCTGAAAATGTGTACAAGCTGGAAGCATCCTGGAATTGTAGGCAAGAACAGCTAGCTGCTCAACATCAGGTTTTTGAACTCCCTTCCCCCAACTTCTGCCTTTCTGCTTTAGGCTGGAAATGTGTGTTCATTTAAGAAAAGGTCAGGAAATAAAGCTTCAAAATTTTCATCATTCAATTCCAATTAAATCTCAAGAACCAGAGACCCCACTCCTCATTATGCTAAGCAGTCATTGGAATTCTCTGAGGTGAGGGCATACTAATATACTTGACAGGATTCTCAGAGGTAATTTGGGCTTGCAATAGAAAGATAAGGGCAACAGAAAAAAATTGAATTAATTTTATTCATTGAGGTGAAGGCATCTACGTAAACAAAAACAAGGAACTCCTTTATTTGAAGAGGAGGCTGTTAAAATATGATGACCTAAACTGCTAGATTTTTGTTTAGAATTTATTTATTTATTTTTTTGCATTACAAGACATAAAGCAAATATAGAGAATTTGGAAAGGAAATACAGCTTCATTGCCAGGGATAGAAGTATTTACACATAGGAATCAAGAAAGCAAGTTGATTTCTTAACTGGGATTATCCATTAGAATTCTGTTTGTGGGCTAGGGTTGTACAGTGGTAGAGTGCTTGCCTGAGTTCAATCCTCAGCACCACATAAAAATAAACAAAGTTAAAAAAAGAATTCTGTTTGATTTTGGATATGACAGAACAAATAAAAATAATGAATTATAGATTAATATTCATATAATCTGGGTTCAAGTCCTTGATCATCCCATAAGTAGCAATAAAGCCTTGAGTAAATAATTTAATCTTTATGTGTAAAATAAAGACATTTAGAACAAATGACCTCTAAAATTTGGTTTTCATGTCAGTGAAGGTAATTATGGGTCAAAATGTGATTTTGGATGCACTGTAATACATCAGGCACCAGTTGTGAAGAATAACAATAATAAGGAGACAGAGACAAGGTGCAGAGGCAGGGAAGGTGGCAGAGTAGCTCCTTGTCCAAGTGGCTACGTTTATTTATAACAATAGGTTACATTAGGTCATTAGTACCATAACCGCATTATTGTTTAAAGTATCAGTAAGGTTGCTTATTCTGCAGTTACATTTCACAGTTACAATATGCAATGTTAGGAGATTTGTACATTTCTCAAGAAAGTCCATTGTCTGAAGTCACTGTTAGGCGGGCAGCTCCAGGAGCACCAGAGCTTGGTGAAATATTGTAGTTATCAAACAAGAAAGTTCTTTAATTCCCAGGAGCTATGTACCTGCAGTCAAGGTCGAGGCTTGATGAGGCTCTAACACAGAGACATCTCAGGGAATTGCCATACCAACTAGATAACATATATTAGCTATATTATTAGATCCTAAGAGAGATTTCAGGGCATTCTAAGGGTGGGAAACAAGGTGTGTGTTACCCACCAGGAGTTTACTCACCAGGGGAATGCATCCATGTACATTTCCATGGTCAGAATTCCTATAGAAATTATGGGTCAAAATGTGATTTTGGATGCATTATAATACATCATTGAGAATTCCAGGGCTAAGGAACCCTAGAGTTAATCTTTAATAAATATAATCTTGCTTCCATGAATTTAGAATATATTCAGGAGGTTTGCAATATTATGCTATCTTTAAGTTATAGTAATTAATTTTTTAAACCTCAGAAAACATTAGAAGAAAGAGACACATTTCAGACCATTGTATGAGTTGGCACTGGCTTAAACATAAAATTTCGTTCTCAACATCCTTGTAGCCAAGGAATAAAGTGAAACAAATTGAATTAGATTCATCTCTTTATTGAATAAAATGAAACAGTAGACTTTATCCTAATAAAGAAATCTTTTTTATCCTAAAATTAAAATTCTACAAGGAATTCATTGCTTGGATCCTTATATAAAGACCATTGGTAGCTTCACACAATGGATAGTCCAAAGAAAACAGTTTTGAAAAGCAGAAATATTTCATCATCTTAGTTTTCTTAACCAAAAGGAATAATAATTAAAATTCAATAGATATAAAGATAGATCTAGGAGTGGAAATATCTTTGTGTAAGATGCAGAATGTATTAGTTCACAACAATTCAGATTTCAGGGGTGAATCTTGTGCTTTCAATAACATCCTCAGTTCTAATTCTTCTTTACTCCACCTGAGTTGGCTTCATTCTCAGGCAACAGTGGCCACTGATAACTTTAAGCTTGCATTCATTATGCTTTAATTTCAGTAAAGATAAACTTGTCTCAAGAGTCCATCTGAAGTCATTAATCAAGCGCATATTATGTACCCACTCCTGAACCAGTCACTGAAGCCAGGGTAAGGGAATGCTGTCATTAGCAAGACCTGTGTCAAATGTACATCATTGAAAGAATAGGGTAGAATCAGTCCCTTCAAACATCTGGAATAAGAATGACAAAATGGGATGATTCAGGGTGAAGTAGGGCAGAAAAGCTGCCTCAATAGAAGTGAGAAATACAGAACACCGAAGAAACTATTAGATACTATAATAAAGTCATATTCATATCTGTAAAGCACTTTTAGGTTTTCAATGGTAGATACTGTATACATGAAGTATTTTGTTTAAATAATTTCAAAACAATTGAACAAGTTCAGATAGTAACTGGGCCCATAATTTTCCCTTGCTGAATCTTTCTGACTTTCAAATTCTCTGTTGTAATTTATTGGTACCGCTGTCTCCCTCATCAGGCTTGAAAACTTTAGTTAGAATAATTATCTCCTACTTTTGGTTCCTAACATATCATCAGTTGCCAAATCCTATTGGTTGCATGTCTGGAATATCTCCTATATCTTTTATTTTTCTCCTATACCTCTGCTATCACAACAGCTCTGACCTTCATTCCTCATTCCTTGCACAATCGTGATTTACTTCTCAGTGGAGATATCTTTATTTCCAATCTGTACTATATTTTGTTACCAGGTTAATCATCTGATTATGCCACTTATTGATTAGAAATGGACAATGTCTCTCAGTGGAATGTAAAGTCCATACTTCTGATCCTTATATCTTCATCTCTCCTCTGCAAAACTTCCATATAGATTTTTAGACTTATAAGAATTCTCCTTCATTAATTCTATGATTAAGCAAAATTGAACTATTCATATTTTCCATAAATTTTCTGTGCTTCCTTTCATCTGTGTATTTGCTATTTTCTCCATTGGGAATGCCCTGAATTCTCATCATAGCATATCTAAATCATATCTATTCATCAATGTCCATTTGACATCACTGTCCATTTACCTTCTCCATGGAGCCATTCTTGATCTTCCCTGCCAGAAGCAATCTTTCTTACTCTAATTACCATTCCATTTCCTTATTTTGCATGTTGTTTTCTACCTTATATTGACATTAATATGTGTGTAATTTCACTTATAATCTTGTCAGTTCTTTTAAGATTATAGTCCATTTTTAATCCTCTACTATTATGTGAGGATGTGCCCCCAATTCCGGGTGTTGGAAATCTAATTAACAGTGTTGAAAGGTGGGATATTTAAGAGGTGTTTAAGTCATGACATCTCTACCATCATGAATAGATTAATGCTTAAAGTTGTGAATTCAGTCTCTTGCTTTTTCTCACCATCTGTTTTTCCTTTTGCCATGGAACATTGCAGCAGAAGGACTACCATCAAAACCAGCTCCTCAGTCTTGGACATTTCAGCCTCTAGAACTGTAAGCCAGGTAAATTTCTATTGTTTATAAATTGTATAATCTGTGATATTCTGTTATGGCAACACAAGATGGACTGAGACAGCCTCTAATACAGAACTCATAGTAGCAACTACATTAATATTATTTGTATGACTGAATGAAATTGTAACTTAATGAAGCATATTCATATTTTCTGCTTTCAAGTGCTACAATACTCAATAATCATGAATTTAATAAATGGCAAAAATATAGTTACCATTATATCTTACATAGTTTTTAAATGACTGATATCTCCAATAAGCTTAAGTCAAAGAGAAGGTTGCATTTTTTATTATCAAACTTTTAGATAAATTATTGAAAATCCAATATCTTTGCTATTGATCAAAAGCAAATCTTTTTGCCTTAGGTAGCATACATGTGATAACAAAATTGTCATTTGTTATTCTGGGTCTCTTATTTTTCCAGATGAATTTCATGGTTGCTTTTTCTATTTCTATGAGGAATGCCATTGAGATTTTGATTGGAATAGCATTAAATCTGTATAGTGCTTTTGGAAGTATGGTCATTTTGATAATATTAATTCTGCCTATCCAAGAGCAATGTAGATCTTTCTATATTCTAAGGTCTTCATTATTTCTTTCTTTAGGCTTTGGTAGTTTTCACTGTATAGATCTTTCACCTCTTTCATTAAGTTGATTCCCAAGTATCTTATTTTTTTTATGAAGTTATTGTAAATGGGGTAGTTTTCCTCATTTCCTTCTCAGAGTATTTGTCACTGATATACAAAAATGCCTTTGATTTATGGGTGTTAATTTTATATCCTGATACTTTGTGGAATTTATTTACTAGTTCTAGAAGTTTTCTGGTGGAGCTTTTTGGGTCTTTTAGGTATAGAATCATATTGTCAGCAAACAGTTCTAATTTAAGTTCTTCTTTTCCTATACATATCCCTTTAATTTCTTTTGTCTGTCTAATTGCTCTGGCCAGTGTTTCAAGAACTATGTTGAATAGAAGTGGTGAAAGAGGGCATCCCTGTTTTGTTCCAGTTTTTATAATGTCTTCAATTGAATGAATGCCTTCAAGTTTTCTCCATTTAGAATGATGTGGCCTGAGGATTAGGACAGATAGCCTTTATGATGTTGAGATATGATCCTGTTATCCCTAGTTTTTCTAGTGTTTTGTACATGAAGCAGTGATGTATTTTGTCAAATGCTTTTTATGCATTTATTGAGATGATCATATGGTTCTTATCTTTAAGTCTATTGATGAGATGAATTAGATTTATTGATTTTCGTATGTTGAATGAAATTTGCATCCCTGGGATGAATCCCACTTGATCATGGTGCACAATCTTTTTGATATGTTTTTGTATTTGATTTGCCAGAATTTTATTGAGAATTTTTGCTTCTATTTTCATTAGAGATATTGGTCTAAAGTTTTCTTTCTTTTAGGTATCTTTGCCTGGTTTTGGAATCAAAGTGATATTGGCCTCACAGAATGATATTAGAAGTTTTGCCTCTTTTTCTATTTCCTAAAATACATTATAGAATATTGGTATTAGTTCTTCTTAAAAGGTCTTGTAGAACTCGGCTTCATATCCATCCGGTCCTGGGCCTTTGGTGGCATCACTATACCAGAACTTAAACTATATTACAGAGCAATAGTTACAAAAACAGCATTTTTGGCACCAAAACACACTGGTAGACCAATGGTACAGAATAGAGGACACAGAGACCAACCCACAAAATTACAACTATAAATATAATATAAAATTCTTATATTAGACAAAGATGCCAAAAACATGCATTGGAGGAAAGCTAGCAAATGGTGCTGGGAAAACTGGAAATCCATATGCAACAAAATGAAATTAAACTCCTCTCTCTCACCATGCACAGAACTCAACTCAAACTGGATCAAGGACTTAGGAATTAAACTAGAGACTCTGTGTATAATAGATGAAAAAGTAGGCCCTAATCTTCATCACATTGGATTAGGCCCCAACTTCCTTAAGAAGATTCCTATAGTGCAAGAATTAAAACCAAGAATCAATAAATGGGGTGGAATAAAACTAAAAAGTTTCTTCTCAGCAAAAGAACCAATCTGTAAGGTGAACACAGAGCCTACATCCTGGGAGAAAATTTGTACCCCTCACACATCAGATAGAATACTAATATGTAGGGTATATAAAGAAATAAAAAAACTAAGCACCAAAAAATCAAATAACCCAATCAATAAATGGGCCAAGGACATGAACAGACACTTCTCAGAATAGGATATATAATCCACCAACAAATATATGAAAAAATGTTCATCATCTCTAGCAATTAGAGAAATGCAAATCAAAAGTACTCTAAGATATCCTCTCACTCCAGTCAGAATGGCAGATATTATGAAGACAAACAACAGTAAGTGTTGGCGAGGATGTGGGGAAAATGACACACTCATACATTGTTGGTGGGACTTGAAATTGGTGCAGCCAGTATGGAAAGTAGTATGGAGATTCCTTGGAAAATTGGCAATGGAACCACCATTTGACCCAGCTATCCCTCTCCTCATTCTATACCCAAAAGACTTTAAAACAGCATACTACAGGGACACAGCCACATCAATGTTTATAGCAGCCCAATTCACAATAGCTAAACTGTGGAACCAACCTAGATGCCCTTCAGTACATGAATGGATAAAAAATGTGGCATATATACACAACAGAATATTACACAGCAATAAAAGAGAATAAAATCTTGGCATTTGCAGGTAAATGGATGGCACTGGAGAAGATAATGCTAAGTGAAGTTAGCCAATCCCCAAAAAACAAATACTGAATGTTTTCTCTAATATAAGAAGGCTGACTCGTAGTGGAATAGGGAGGGGGAGCATGGGAGGAAATGATGAATTCTAGATAGGGCAGAGGGTTGGGAGGACAAGGGAAGGGGCAGGGGATTATTAAGGATGGTGGAATGTGATGGACATCATTATCCAAAGTACATGTATGAAGACACGAATTGGTGTCAACATACTTTATATACAACCAGAGATATAAAAAATTGTGCTGTATACATGTAATAAGAATTGTAATGCATTCTACTATCATTTTTAAAAAATCAATTAAAAATGCAGAGAAACTAATTTTTTTCTTAGATGAAATAAAAAAATTGTCATTTGTTGATTGAAAGGAGAAAGCCTTACTGATATTATGTCCCAAAGGAACATTCCACCCAATCATTGAAGTTTTTTTTTTTTTTTGTACCAGGAGACAGAGCAGAATATTTGACTCAAAGAGACTCTGAATTCACACCAACTATTTGACAGATGCTCAGATGAAATCAGTTATGTGCTATGAATCATGGAAGCAATGCCATTACATTGATATACTGGTTGCTTTTACAAATTAGAAGTCTTTAAAAAAGTTATTACATACAATATCTGATTTAGAATAAAAATGCTCCTGAATGTAGCTATCTTGCATAATTATTTATATAATGAAAGGTTCTTCTCTGTGACAGATATTCCCATGTAGTATGATCACTAAATAGAAGGGTTTAATATATTAGTTAATGTATAAGATTTCATAGTATATCAAATTAGAATTATGTATCCCACACTATTTTAGTCCTTTTGGTTAGTTCAAAGATTAATGGAATGCGATTCCTCTCCTGAAATCTATTGAGAGAGAAAAATTCTATACAAATGACATAATATGGTGCAACAATGATTTAGAGATAAGGTAGGGAGATTTTAAAGTGTGAAAATCGGCACTATGGTGTTGTGAGATTATTTCAAGCTACATCTTTGTGCAGTGTCTAACAGATCTGAGTCCTATTCATCGAACAATTTTTTCAGTGTGGGGTTGGGGATCAAATTCAGTGACTTGAATGTGGCAAATATACACATGAACATGGTAGTCAAGCATTCTAACACTGAGCTATAACCCAGCCCCATCAGACATTTCATTATCACATGATTTTGTTTTTATAGATCTTTTATATGTGCCTTTTTAAAATAAAGCATCTATGTAAAGTTTTTTATTCAGCTAACATTACTGATTAATATTCTCATTCCAGATTAGGAACATTCAATGCTTGATAGAGAAATTTTCAGCCTTTCAACAAAATTTTATTATATCTTAAATTTAATATTTTCATTTTGTACTTTTATGCTTTGGTTTGTTCTGGCAGCCATTATGGCTTTGAGGATATTGTTTCTGTTTTCTTCTTCTTCATTACCATCTTCAGCAATATTTATTGAATATTTACAGCATGCCAGCCACTGCTAAACACTTCATGTGAATGCTCATTTAATACTTTAATAATAATTATAATCACTCTAATTAGCCCATTTTAGAGATGAATAAATTTATCTCAGAAATGCATATTACATATGCCTTCTCCATAACAGGAGGTATGTTTTAGTTTCTCCACTGAATTCCTCCTGATTTAGTTTATCATACTGCAAAATTAAAGAAAAAGTAGGATTGTACTCTTCAATCTAAGTTAATTTCAAAGTAAAAACATTAAGCATGGATAAAATAGTTACTTAAAAATAATAAAGGATGCATTCCAGAGTGATGATAAACATCTAAACATCTTCATTAGGCTTTAAAATAATATAATAATTAATTATGAAACACATGAAACACAGGAAGAATTATATAGTAACTAAGAGTTTGGACTCTGAAATAAAACATCTGGGTTTAAATACTGGTTCTCTAATCAATTAACTGTGTGACCTTAAACAAATTTCTCATCTGTAAAGTGGGGGTAGTAATAATATCTACTTTACAGTGTTGTTGTGAGGATTAAATGAGCTGTTTTACATGAAACACTTAGAATGGTTCTGGAAATATTGCAAGGGCTCAGAGCTGACTACAATTACAAGATGCTGGAAATACGAAGGTGAATGAAAATATAGTCTTCTATTAATAAATCTCAGTCATGAGATAATAAGTAATGAATAAGAATATGTATTTTCTGAATAACACAATAGGTTTTATAAAATAAGATATATATTCACTTTTGTATTCTGAAAACCAA